AAATTGCTTAATGTGTAAAATAAAACGATACCGACATACCAGTTCTGAAACGTATTTATTATTGACAGAAAAACTCAAGAAGCGTGGCATGAAGAAATCGAGATTCGTGGCCAACGTTTGTGGCGCCAGGAAGAATCGCTAGCGACCATTGGACGCAAGCCTAATAATAAATCACGATCTGATCAATCTGTTTGAAAACATCATTATATTACAAATGCATCACCCTTTGCTTGTGCTTTTATCAACAGCACAAGCAAGGGACAATTCTATCAAGTAAAAACGCAACTTTGTACCTACTGAGTCGCGTCGCCCGGGCACAGATTACTTAATAGTTACTACGAACCAGATACATCATTCTATTACAAAATCGTAAATACCTACGCTATAATAGCCTACTAAATGTGATTAATGACACCAGCCGTTCAATACGAGAAAAAAGAAACCTAAGCACGCGCTCAGAGAGGTGAATAAACGTTGCCCACCGTGTGCAGTCGTGCGGAACCAAATGCTGGGCTTGTACAAGGATTATAATGTAAATGAAAGACTTGTCTAAGCGCTTGCACTGTCAGCGATACACTCAGATTGCGTAACCTCGAGCGAGTGGCGGAGCCCTGGCTCAGGTGCAATCAATACCTACCCTGGCATCCTCTAGAAGGCACGCGATCAAAATGGAATACTTACAGTTATATTTTTCCCAGTGATCGGAAAATCTAGTGCAAATGATGCAATTATAAATAATGTTGGGAAGCAATAGTCCGTTTACTTCGTTTGTGTCGCGAACGACGCGGGCTCTTCGGAGACGTCGCACAAGCGGCGTTTGGCACCCCCTAGACCATGAGTCCGTGTGCGCCGCACGCCCAGAGCCATAGATAAAGCCGGCACTGATTAAGACAGATTTGAAGGGCATTGCCGGTGCGCCCGACAGCCTGAGACATAGGTTGACAAGTCCCATGTGCCTGTGATTTCACCAGCCCCCGTACCCTTCTAAACCGGAACGCACACTACTGCTTCTTTGACGTAATCAGAGCGAGAAAGACGTGTATTTCACGTAGGCGGGTTGTGTACCGAAATTAATGTCGTCTTTTTCACTCTTATTGCATGGATATTTAAAACATTTTTCTGACCGGCTCAAGTCGACACCGCGATATGAAAATGTCAAACTGTGATTTTACTTAGCTTTAAATATTACTTTTCGTTTACATTAATTTTAATTTGTACGTAATTATTAAAATATTACTGCTGACTTTGTGAGTCTGTTTCTTTTAAACAAATAAGAAAAGAACAGGAGAATTCATCTTATTTGATACAAAATATACTTATGGACATATTTAAATAATACTAAAATAAGGTTGAATTATGATAATAACGGTCATATAAAACATTTGGCCACACAATTAATTATACCATCGAAATTAAATCAAAACCAAAAGACGATTTAAATAATTTATTCCTTTTTTTCAAATTAAACTAGTTAAATGGCCACAGGTCATCGAGTATTATAACCAGAAATAGAGACGAAATGTCATTTAATTTGTTTGAAAACTATTCTGTCAAATGACAACAGGCGACAACTGCGCTCCGATAGGCCAACGAGCTGTATCGCTAATGTATTATCAGGAACACAGGGTCCTTATTTCGTCTCTATTTCTGGTTATATGCTCGATGCCTATCATAATAATTCAACCTGTTTTTAGCGTTCCTATAAATTATGAATTATAGGTAGATACCTACTTAGATACTATATTAAATTATTCAGTACAATCGAATTACACATTATGTAAATTTATAAATATATTATGTTAATTTACTCTTTTCGTTTTAATAATTTATTGATAACTTATGGTTTAAACAGAGATTTGTTTGTTGGTAGGTCAATGGGTTTAAGGCATTTATATCTCAAAACAAAACACAAATATTAACTTAAAATGAGAAATGCTAGTTTAATCTAAAGCTTACACAAATGAACGAGTGAATGAAATCATGATTCTTAATCATCAAGAATGACTATACGTCATTCCACTTTGTGTAATTCTATGGATTTACGTAAATATTCTTTGCCTCTTCCGATTTGTGGTAACAAGTAAAAATATGGATTTGAGTTTTGGGCCCATTATTGGTTTGGGGCCACTATTCTTGAAAAGCAAGCAATTATGTCGATTAGTTCATGGTGAATATTCGAATTATTTTCAGTTTTAATTATGAATAGAAAGAAATATTCCTTCGAACTTACAGGAGTCGAACTTACGTCTGTTGTGTTGGTACAGACCAAGCCAGGGCCATTGGAGCCAAGTGGCAGGAGTGGGGCCACAGTGGCCTGTGAATTTTTCTTTGTATAACAAACTAGTGGAGTAATTTTACAAAATAAAATTAATGTCAATCATGATATTCAATAAAAATTAATATCTTCAGGTTCCCCTTTTTGTTTTGACTTAGCATTTCAGTGTTTGTGCCAGTGCAAAATAACGAGCTTGTCTACTCGCGTTAGGAATTCTGGGATGGAAAATGGTTACAATTATTGTTATGTGCACTTTCAATGAATTCCGTGAGACTTAGAAATATTATCTAAACTAACGGATAACTCATTAGTCATCACAATAGATCAGTTGATGGTCACAGTGCAAGCCACCCTAATAATTCACAATTTATATATTAGGCCATGGGAGAGGCGAGTCTAAAATAGATAAATAATAATAAATGATCCCGATTGTTTTGTCCGCAAACGGGTTAATTTCAGTCAGCCAGGCCTCGCTAGCAGCTGCCGAAGTGCAAAAGGCCGTCCTGCTCAATGCGGCACGTATTGTTCGCCGGTTCTTGAATTTGGACCCCGGCCGACTGCGCCACTGCGGGGGAATACTGTCTTTCCCGTTTGATTTGATTTAAAATTCAAATTTTATGTTTTAAGCCATGGAAGACACGAGAATGTAAAATAGATATCCATAATAATACCGGATAACTCACGCATAAGTCGAATTTTTCCTCGTCATGTTTCGATTCAGTCCGTGGTCCGTTTTCTTAATTTAAAAAGTGTGACCTTGTAATGCATCACAACAGAATTGACCACTTGCATTCGATTGAGATTTTTGGTTTCACGGTTCAGATCGTATATATACTAATAACTGTGAGAAAAATACTGCGTTCGTGCAACATGCAATTACTAACTGCATTAAGTTTAGCATTTAGTGTAGTTCTGTGGAAAGAACCAAGAGCCACAGCTTCCAATTCCCACTCGTTTGAACCTACAGGAAGTATACTGTCATTACTACAGAAAGCAGTGGTACCATGCAAAGCAAGTCTTCCTCGTGGTCCACATGAAAACAGCTGATCTATCAGCTACTTTCTGTGTCTACTAATGCATATTAAGTGAGAGCCACTAACTAGGATCTGAAAAATTCTATGATATTTGTATCATACTCCCTTACAAAGAACTTGATGTTTTGACGAATTAAACATTAAATTTCAATCAAACAACAAAAAAAAGCCATAGACATATTTAGAGGAACGCCAAAAAAGTTAAATCATGATCATTGACCTACCAACAATGATAACAATGTTCATATGAAACACTGGCCACATATACAAGAACGTTTAATTTGAAGAAATAATGACTTCAATCATCTTTTAATTTCGATTAAACGTTCATACGTACCACTGGTCACATATACCAGAAGGTTTAATTTGAAAAAAGAATGACTTCAATCATCTTTTATCTTCGATTAAACGTTCTTACGAATCACTGGCCACATATACCAGAACGTTTCATTTGAAAAAAGAATGACTTCAATCTTTTGATTTCGATTAAACGTTCATTTGAACAACTAGCCACATATACCAGTTAACGTTTAATTTGAAAAAAGAATGACTTCAATCACCTTTTAATTTCGATTAAACGTTCATATGAACCACTGGTCACATATACCAGTAAACGTTTAATTTGAAAAAAGGATAACTTCAATCATCTTTTAGTTTCGATTAAACATTCTGGTATATGAAGCTAGTGGTTCATATGAACGTTCCTACTCAAAATAGCGGAATTGAGAAGACACGATTAGAAAATTAAATAATTACTGAATGGAACAAAAAAATACATATTCCCATAAGTGGATAACTAAATATGATACATAAATAAAAATAATCCTATTATTCGCAATAAGAAATAAAATAACGGACTTTTTTGAATGAAAATTTTGGGATCTTATTTTCTCAATTCATCACTTTCGAGTTACAACAGTATTTGGTATCTAGTGCGAATTATTCATGCCAACGGTGACGATGTTAGGAAAATTGACGCGATGCTAGATAATCGGAAAGAAGCCTCTATTTCTATTGAGGAATCCATTAGGGAACAGTACCTTGAGTAGTAGAACAGGATCTCGACACGTCGTTTTATATGAGCGTTTATTAGTTTAAAAAAAGACAGGTTCTTAATTTCGCCATTCTCTGCTTGAAGAAAATATAACGAACGGATGTTTGTAATTCTCTCAAAAAGAAATCTAAAAAGAATCACAATTAAAACAACAGCAAGTGACATGATAGCAAATTTATTTCATTACCCTATTATGATCGACATAATACAATGTATTCAAATGTTAACTGTAACAAATATTTACGTTAAATTATACATCTGTATAACTAAACAGTCACATATCACCTAGTGATGACAACATTTTAATTCTAGTGAAAATAAAGTTAAAATTTATTACCACCAATTTTTGTATACCAAAGGCTTTTAAGGTGAACGCCCACTTGTCACCACGCGCCGATGACGTCATCAGACTACACATAAAATGAGATTGTAGAAATGAGCTGTTTTGGGGTTAATAAAGACATTTACATTTTGTTAATTACTATGTTATATTACCAGGGCATTTACAATGTTGCTAATGATGTTAACAGCATCTTAAGTCGAATACGTTCCAAGCCTTCCGACAGTGAAAATTACTGACAAGTGTGTGTTCACCATAATGATGTTGAAACTAATGTCATGTTGGTTTACTGTATTACTGTAACCCCAACGTGCGCTCAATAATGTGGTCGATCAGATCTAGTGGAAAACTCGTCACACCTCTCTTTCATTTATTTGAAAAGTGACTGAAGTCTGAAAAGTTTTCAATAGCTTTGACCTGATTTGACAAGGATTTTCACGTGGCCAACAATATAACTAACCAAGTGGCCAATGAAAGCTCTGATGAACAGGACAGGTAAAAATATTCACGAGTAAAATTTATGCACCAAATAGAGCTTTTTTAGAAGCGCAATTTCATCTCAGTCTAAAATCCTTGTCAATGCCTCATAGCGCAAAATTCAATTTGTCTATCTATGGACTTTCAATATTGCCAATTTTACCCCGAGTACGAAGAAACACATCTTCTATAACTAATTATTAATCTATTATCAGATTATCTTTAATTTTGCATTCGCAAAGCACAATTTCCTAATAAATTGTACCGCCAATACGATTTTACATCTAAATCTGAATAAATACAAAATTTATCAAAATAAATACATTAAATGAGATTGAAAAGATATGCTGTGTTAGGGATTGAACCACATTTATCGAAGGCATTTGGCATTTTTTGCGTGTTTATTTTTTACGAGATCTTGGTAAAAACGTAAAGGCAAAATGCCGAAAATCATTGATCAGTGTGTTTCAACCCTTACTCAAAATGTTACAATGAAAAAATATTTCTGATTTTGACTAAAATCATTCCAAATCGTAGATTTCTAAAAACATTACAAAGAAAAACACAAGAAATAGATTATAATACAACAATTCCAATAATAATATTGCTTTTAAACAATAAATTTATTTTATTACCTTATTGTATAACGAATTTTGTTCAAATTTAATTCCAATACAAGAATACAGAATTTTACGCACCGGACCGTTTTTTGGCTACGGTTATTATCTTAAAATAAAATGAGGTTTACTTTCCAATATTTTTTAAAAAATATAGTTTTTTTTTGTGGAATGCAGTGCTATGATGTTCAATAATATCTATTTGGGATGTCCTGAGATTATTGCATGTTGCGATTCTTCTTTTTTTTTAATCAAACGGTTTGGTTGTGTAAAATTGTTCACTCACAACAGCAATAACAATCAGTTAAAACGACATTGAGACAATCCTTCAAACTGATTAAAAAATATTTTTATGTACATATGTTTAATGAACTAAAGAGCACAGAGTATTATTATAAAAAAAGACTATACTTCAGCTGGTTATCCCATTGAAGATAACAAAACATTTTATAAACAATTCTTTTGAAAAACGCAAAACATTTCCCCATGGAAACCAGCAGGCTGATTTTAATTCAAATTGCAATCGAACCGATCGGACAGCCCATCCGAGTCTCGAAATCAGATGGGTTTCCGAGCGAGAAGATGAACCTGATTCCTACCATAATTTGTGAGTTAACTCAACTATTGTTGTGAAATGTCAAAAGTTTCCGATCGGTCAGTTGTGAATCACAATAATGCGCCTCGACTCGAAAGAGATGCAGTTTCTGATCGGGAGAGGCAATCAAAAGATGGAGTAGTCCGTGTTAATTATGAAATACAAAGGCAAACTAAGAGCCTATGCACACGCAGACGCGCTATAGTGAATCGATTGAAACGCGCGCAAACATAGCATTGCAAGCATTGACTTACAAATAAATGGACGACGGGTCTAATACAAAAACCACGAAAAAAATGTCCCAAGTCAACCTATTTAAACGTAGTGACATGTCAAGGAATATGACAAATCTAAAACGTTGAATTTAAGTTATCTAATTTTGCTTGCTTCGCTGTCAGTCGAACAAACGAAGACTAAAGCGTGAATGACGCTCTGTATACGATTTTAACGCCCTATAAGTTCGGACACTTTTTAGCGTGGACCCGACGTCCATATAATTGTAAGTTAATGATTGCAAGCAAGAAGTTTATATACTCCACTGGAGTTTACACTTAGAATTTCATATAGTTGCTTCATTTCAAAAATTTACTGAAATTAACAAACAAAACTAAATTATCTCTACAAATCACGCGCTTGTACGGTGTGTGCATAGGCTCTTGGGTTCACGAAAGAAGAATTGTCTCAATGTTCGTAGCTCAACTCAGTTTATTATGGGTTCCGTATCTTGCCTGGCACGTAGTTCTTGTCGATTGTGGGCTCTTGCAGAAACATATGAAGGCACCTCTCGTTTTGGGCCAGGGGGTGGCCTGCTATCTTGTTTATGAATACTTCCAAACCTAAAAATGATATAAAATTATTATTATTTTTATGATGCGGGATAAACGACATGCCTGCAATGACATTCAGAGCTTTAAATCTCAAAGAATGAGGAGTACTGGTACTGCGGCCGTCACCCAGACATGAGTCGAAATGTCCCGTGTGCCTGTAATTTCACCAGCACCCTTAACCCTCCAAAACGGGAACACAGTATTGCTCACTTTACTGTTTGGTGGTAACAAATAGGTAAGGTAGCAGTACTTCCCTTTCTCACATTTCACACTAAATATCTACTGCTAAATTACAACTGCTACAACTTAAGCGAGAATTTGAAAATTGATATTCAATTATTTTTTGTGAAATTACTCCACTGGTTTGTTATAATTATTAATACAAATATCGGACACTTAGAAACAATTTCACAACACAACGACAACAAGCGCATAGAAAAATTCTCGAGGTCCGCTGGTTCGTTCCGCGGCTTAGTTAGCATAGCGTTTGATACGGTTTGCTAGAAGACGTCGTTTCGAATCCGACCGGATCGAAGGAATTTTTTCTAAGTGTAATAATAATTATTTGATAACATCAATTACTGTATTGCAGGACAAGAACCTATTAGGGAAACTGCCTTTAACTGACCAACAAAGGATAATGGACGAGATCAAGTACGATATCCTATGTACCGATCTGGCCGTATTTATTTCTGTCAATTTTAACAGTGAAAATGTGTTCTGTATTTTGTCTGTGTTATTAAATCTACAATGACATTGAATGCCCCGCGTACTGAATGAAACGAAACTAACTGGCTGCGTGGTATCGTCGGTGTTGACGTTAGCAGTCAGGGTCGCTGAAAAAGCCCAACTTGCTTGAAATGTTTTAATTGTTCCTTTTCGTTTTTATCTTTTATATTTCTGCGGCTGATTATTATAATACAAACGAACAAGACTGTGCCATCTACCCCGTTGAAGACTCACACTCGCACCTGTCGTAGTGAAGGGAGGAACTCGTGAGTACTTCTATATCATTTTAACCAGGATAGCACAGGCAAAAAATTACTAGCCCCTTAAATACAGTCCACCTACAGCCGCGTGGCTAGGCTTCTTTATGCCACAAAATATTTTGTTACAATTCATATCAACGTCGTAAAAACATTCTAAATATATAGTCTTTACATAAAAATGTTCAACACACTCATAGCCCCGCATTAGGGAAACCCTGTATCGCGGGTGGGATGGACACACACATAGGTAGACAACCACATATTACACCCAAACTCACGAGAGAAATAAATGTAGGCCATACAAATATTTCTCCCGGCCCGGGAATCGAACCTGGGACCTCTGCGTGGCAAATGTTAACCGTTCGGCCACAGAGGCAGTTATCTATATCCTTATACTATGAGTACCAGAGTAACAAAATTATGGAGCAATGCCCAGAATACCTAGACACATAACAAATGGATCTCCGCATCAACCACCCATAGTGCTAACTGCTGGGCCAACAAAGTCGTAAATTAATCAGTTTTATTTATAAGTAATTGGTCCAGGTCACCAGGTCCCATCTGAAAACTTTGAAGCGCGAACTTCTAAATGGGCTTCAATAGGGTAAGATTAGAGTTCAAACTGAATACATGCAACTTCATATCTGTTCAAGGACCAACACTAGATAAGTTTAAAATTAAAAATATACAAAGAATTGTAAAGAATTACCTTTCCTACGGTCCTCAATGAATTCTTCCTCAAAAATGCCATCGTCTCCACGGAAAGGAAGCTGTCTCTTTAAGGCTTTGCCTGGCAGAGGTGGCACTACTATCTGTAAAGTATGAAATCGATTTTGAAAACATTTAATGGACCTATCCATAATATCCGATAAGATAATGTTGTCCCCTCGACAACCGCTAGTTGTACAATGCGCAACTGGAAGTGAGCATACCTACGGCTCCAGTACCTATCTGAAAAACAGGGAGGGTATTGTACGTGCACCCGAGGTGGCTCACCCGAGAGACGAAACGGTCTGTGACAACCACGTACACTGGCCGATCTGGGGTCAGAACCTGAACTTATAAAGTTCTAATTTCACTATAATCAAAACTAACGTAGAAAGATGGAGATGGAGCTTGTCAAATGTGGAAAAATATAAGAATATTCGGATATATATTTTTTTAATCCTTCCATTTCCCAACACTATCAATAAGGAAGAGGAACAGTTTTAATTTTAGTTTAGTCCAGTCAAATTTCGGTAAGGTAGAAAAATTGACTTGTCATAAAAAAGTGTAAAACGATGAGGGTCTTAATTTATTTTTTTTATTTAATAGTTTATTGTACAGGAAAAATACAACAAGTCACAAAGAATACAAGGGAAATTAAAAACAAAAGGTGCTGCCTATTTCTAATAGAAATTTCTTCCTGCAGACCTAAATACAGGACACTATAACTAAAAGAACGGGCATATGTGCACAACATAACATGGAAAAAAAATTATTTGTCAGCTCTCAAGTAAAACAATATTTAGTGGTTTTTTCCAACTGATACAACATAAGAGATACATTGAACTGCGATTGCATGCGTTTTGCGTTTATCCGACTAGAAGCCACTGTGTATATTCAACTTCACAATCTGGCATCCATCCAAATAAAATTTACTTCTCATATCTTCAAACAAGTTGCCAAGAAATCACATACATAAACCAATGTCTTGTTAATAAAGTATATCAAAGATTCACAAACATCTTTAAAAAGCTAGACTTTAGATTTAGCATATTATTGTTGGTATCCACAATAAAACACACTATCTACTAATTATCCAGGACATAGATTCCGCCACAACATTCACCGCTCATAATACCACCTGGTCAATCTTTGCGATTTGTATAGACAGGCTAGGTAAACAGTCCCAACGCTCAACGCCAGTCTATCAAATTTCTTAAACTTAAGAGGCAAGAGCTATGCACTCTATAAAAGCCTTTACAATTAGGTATCACGAATATCTCTATTCAGAACGATCGCGCATATTCTACTACAATGCTCCAGCGTTCTTAAAACAGGGCGAAATTGCTTGGAGTGCCGAGGTTAGACGCGAGAGGATGCGGAGATTCCTAGAGGAGCTCGGTGGCACCAGTAAGAACCTCCACCCATCACACGCAAAGTATGCGCCTAGTCGTCGAGTTGCTGATACTAGCCCTTTACACCATAGCATACCATGCCACCATTCACTGTCGTAATCCATTCAGATATTTGGCGTTATTGATATAATGCATCAAAAATTTTATTGTTAATCGTACTGTATACATTTTAGTGCATAAAATAACGATATTATTTCATACTAAATTAATAAATAGAAATACCATATAAACATTTGTTAGTCAATACTTATTGTAAGCCAGTACTTATTATAAGTGTAGATAGACAGTGCCATGAGTTAAGCGCCCAAATCACAAGGCAAGCTCTATAGAAAATAATGCCCCATCAATTTGTTTGAACTATTACACAATATTGATGTATGATCAATGCTTATTACAGTTATTTATCTATTCACGAATGTGTAAGTAATGTTTCAATATCACATACTTTTCTTTCTAGCTAGGATAGGACTTTGTGATGGGCCTAGGTGTTTTGGACTATGATTAATTTAGTACACTACCTTTTCCTATTGTATGAAAAACCTTTTATTAAATTTGACCAACTTGTGCTACCCAAATTTTTATTACCGATACAATTTAATGATCCCTATAAAAAACTAACTTGATCAGCATTAAAATTTTGTCAATATTATTCATTTTTATGGACAACACATGCCTGATCAAAAAATTTACTATATCAAGTTTGTTATCACAAAATTTCCCCATAGTGTCCCAGTTAAAAAATCACACTGTATATCTGATAATTATTCATGTAGACTCACAATTTTGTCTTTTTAATTTTTGACTAAATATGACAAACAGTGGGAAAAGTATCAAAAAATAGAAATCTGTGGAAAAACTAAAATTTGGTTTGTGACTGTTTTTGAGACTGACATTTGACACGTTTGGATATATCTGTGATACAAACACATAGCGCGACACTGCTAGTGGTAGCATTTAGTTGTTTGAATTAATTTTGCAAATATCAAAACAATATAAAACAATAATAAAAACATCAAACAAGGAAGCCATGGAGCCTAATGGTTTGACCTTTCAAGCCTTGACCTTTTAATTTGAAATTCACCATGAGCTTTTTGGTGAAGGAAAACATAGTGTTGAAACCTGCATGTTGAAGAAGGTTCACAACGCTCGAAAAACGCGTGAAGTCTCCAACCCGCATTGGGCCAGCATGGCGGACTATGGCCTAAACCCTCATCTGAAACTCCTTTCAGACGCACGGGTCTCAACCCGTGCCCAGCAGTGGAACGTATAAATGGGTTGAGGATGAAATATCAAAACAATCATCTAGGTATATTTATTAAGTCAATTTACATGATAATCATCATGATAATTATTCATCATCAATGCTAATTAGCACTCTGGACATCAATGTAATCAAAATATCACACCCAAAAATCACCATTATGTCCCCAATATACTTCCGTCTCTTATGATGTTATGATTTTTACTTTAGTAGTTCACGAACCAGATACAAAACAATGTTGCACAAAAATGAAACATCTTTTAACATTAGCAAGTAATTAAAAAGAAAAATGATAATGTATAAATAATATATACTTGTCACTTTGAAGGAACCAACATTTCAGGCCTTTACAAGTCCCATTAAGGTCATAGGTAACTGAGATGGTAAAGTTATCAACCAGTTATGTCTAATATTAATACAATCCACCATATTGAGAACTATAGTTACAAAAGTTATTAATTTAAATACCTTATTATCAATCTAAGAACCTGTACTGTATTGGTGCTCTAAACTTGTACAAGTTTTTGAACATGTCCCTTGAGTAGGGAACCCAGTATTCCTCCCATGAGGCTGACATAGTCACTCAAGGTGGCTACGCCTCAATAATAAACATATTTTTTTTTAAATATCTGTTTTGTAAAATATTTTAATAATATGTATTTTTCAAAATTCGTGGACCCCACTGTTTGAATTAAAGATAAAATAAATAAATAAAAAATTAATTAACCATGGCACCTGTAAAGAGCTGGAAACATTGGATGGTTTTAAAAAATAAAGCAATTTAGACCTGAATAAATAGGTTTCATTCCCAATAAAAATTATAAGTTTGAATTACTCCATCTCCATCAGCCAGAAAATGAATGGATATCGATGGCTTCTAGAATAGTGGTATATCTCAAAATTGACTAATTCATCAAGATGATGACTGAGATGAGAGGCTGAGAAGTGTGTGCACACAAAGTTGGCCACTGTTCTTGAAAAACATTACAACGATATATATGTGACAGCACTTGAAATGGATTAAATTCCATTCTGTACCAAATACAATAGCAATTGTGGTACTGGACATAGTTTAGAGGGCAAGAAAGGAAAACATTGTTGGTGACATTGTCACTAAAATATACCATTGCGAACCAAACAAAATTACGAGAAAAACTTCAATAAAAAACATAGTAAACAAAGCAAAGATATATTGCGAAATTATCGTCATTCATTACTGATGTGCATCATTGAAAATGTTTTGAAGAATTGATAACGTCAAAATACGTCATAATTATCTCCCGTGTTAGGCGAATGTAGGTTTTCTCACCTTACTGTCCCTTTCAAGTTCATTTCGGAGCCATTCGAAATCACTGTACCGCCGCCTCACACTCGACTCTTTCACTTTGAACACGGGGAGATTGGTCTGCGGGCAGGAAACAATCTTATATTATAATTGCCGCTCCGGCAGTCAGTGAAGTACGGTCGCATCACCTTGACACCATCGATACGCCCACAAAATCGTTCGGCGCGCAATAACAACGTTGTACCCCATTTAATCAAATTAGCAGCACACGATGCTCGATGTGAGAAGTCACTTACCCTCATACGAACTTCGTAATCAGTGTAGCGTTTTTTCCCGACACCCATCGTAGTTACTGGGTTCACCACGTCGATTTCCAGAAAGTTAGCCGGCGCGGCGTAAGCATCGTCCAACGTCTGTTTCTTCACATTTAGTCGTCTTGTCGCGTCGGCAGTCGTATCCTCAGCCATCACAATTGCTTTATTTATCAAACAATCAAAAATTATGAAAGGACGGCCCACTTCAAAAAGGAAATGAAATATCAAATGACATTTGTTTGACAATTGAACGTGTGTGGACACTCTACTTTTTTTAAACTCCTTTTTAGTAGAAATTTATTATTAAGGTCTCTTTTGTAAGCTTTCGTGCTTAAAATATAACATTAGGATAAGTGAAAAAGCAATAAAGGAGCATAACGGATTTAATTATCTCAAATTTGGGTCTCAATCACTGTTTTATAATAAAAAAATTTGATTAAAATATTAATGGCGCAGTTTATAATTTGGTAGAAATTCTATAAAATAGCAATAATTTTATCTTTTTTTTTAAATTGCACAAGCGAAGTAATGATTTCATCTATTCAGCCTATTGATGATTCACCTAAATCCCGCTTCCGCCCATATTACCATACACAACTAAAACGCTACACGCAAAGGATTAACACGCCAAGACCAAGAATAAACAACTCAATTGCACGCTTAATTTCATAATTTATTTATTATTTACAAACTACACAGATATTTTCACATAATTTATTTAGTCATAAATTGGGCCATAGGGTCTTCGTCTCGCTTTCTTTTCATTTGATAAGCTTCCAATTCCTCTTCCGTAGGCGCCTTTACTTCGTACATACTGTTGTATGGTCGTTTCCTCTCATCTATAGATATAAGATGCTCTGCACGCTTCTGTTGCCTTACTTCCATTTCTAAAGCCTGTAAACAGTACATATTTATTATTCAAGTTCCTTCTAAGTTGGATGATGGGGAACACACGACATACTCTATTCTATAAATCTAGATCATTTCAACCAACTGGGGAGACAGCAATAGGCAACACCCAAAACTTTAGTGTAGGAGAATTTTGCCTGATTGCAGTAGGAGGTTACATAATAAATATACTTTATATGTAGTAACACAGTGCACAATATAATATAGTGCCTTGAAAATGTTTGTAACCGTGTGCAGCCTTGCCGAAATCTTAGAACAGCCGAGCCCCAGCAACCAGATCAAAATTTAAAGGACCAAATGGAAAACTTGCAAGGTGGAACAATACAAATACCTTTTTCAACTTCTCATCTTCTCTCTTTTCTTTCTTAAGTTCCTTCTTCTTCTTCTTTTTAGCCTTCTTCTTGTTCTTTTTCTTTTTACTTGTCTTTTCCGTTTTCGTGCGATGGTCTTCTTCAGACTCCGACGAGCTGTCTGAGCTGGATGACGACGATGACGATGATGAGGAGGAATCCGAGGAGTCTGATTTTGAGGACTTTGACGGTTTTTCTGAAGTATGGGTATTTTAATTTTATTAGTAATGTTGTCTTGGCCTTATCTAAATAGATTAAGCACTGAGGTTCTGATACAGTTTTAAGTTAAGTGCAACACAGTTAAAATCAAAGATCTAACGTCTGCCATTTACAAATATTTTCTTACCTTTTTCTTTCTTCTCAACAATTTCTCTAGTATTGCTGGACGAGGCAGCCGCCTGTTCTGGTATATCCAGTATCACCGATTTGCCGGCTTCGCCCACGCAATACGACATCTGTAACATTATGAAGAATTAGTTCACTGTTTGAAAATAACAAAATAAATCCAAAAATTTTATCATGAAATCAAATAAGGTTTAATGCTGTGCTCTTTGGGAGAAACGCATAATTACGAATTTTTTACATTACAATTTCAAATTATGTTCAGCAAAGTTATTATCTCTGGACCTAACTTAACATTATTTAATTCCATTTACCAATTTTCACTGAATCGTATTTAAAAAATTAATAGACTAAATGTGAAACCCAAGGACAGGTCCTGTCTATGAGTTTCTGTTTCATGATGGCTACTATGCGCAAAAGATTACCATAGCAATACTCGGAAGGATACTGCATTGATGTTGCTTGTATTCTGAGGATGGATTTTTCTTGGTTTAGTTTCTTTAATAAATAGTATACCATCTTTTAGGGGTTTTTTGATTTCTCCCCAGTTACCGAAGAACAGAAAGGTTGGTGATATATTTTGGTTAGCATAAGTAAGCATACCTTTATGAATGAGTGGCAGCATTTGAAACCCCATTGACCATCTCGCCAATAAGAGCCCCAAACTGAAGTGTGGTTATTTATCAACACGTCTTCTTCGTATTTACTCCTGAAGTCAACAATAAGATTAATCATGTAACAAAACTAAAACTTTCATCTGTACTAGAAACTGATAATTGATTGTATTTGTATAGAAGATCGACGCCGGAAAGCGATCTTGTCGTATCTCGGAAAATAGGACTTTACACCAGGGTCGAAAAAGTATTACAAAAAATTATTTCTCTTTAATTTGAATTAGTAGAAAGTCAATTTTAAAGTATGACGTATATAATCATTATGTCATTTATTAAAATGTTTAGTTTTTTATCTCCTTATTCTATTCCATTCCATTCCATTCCACAAGCAGTCAGCTTTTCAATTTGATTTAAGGCATTACCTAAATTATTACAGTTTCGAGTTAGCCATTTTATGAATTGGAGTTGCACTTACTTTGCAAGCTGCTTCTCCGGGCCAGAAGCCAGAGTGCCGTCGCGATTGTACCGCGTGAATACTTCAGTTTGGGCCAACAGAAGTTCTTTCGGCGGAACCTTTAGGTGTTCTTCTCCTCCGTATTTCTCTAGTACTGATTGTTTCATCTAAAATGAGATTAAAGGCCGTATCAAAATATGAATTCGTTAGAAGCGTTATTATAGCGCTATTATAGTAGTAGCAGCAGAGCTCCCTGTGACAGAGTCCATTCAGGGAAGTATTGCCTTACCTATTTCTGTCACCAAGCAGTAGTGTAGGCATGCCAATCAGACTGACTGAGGGTAGGTTTAGAAGGGTACTGGTGAAATTACAGGGACATGTGACTTTTAAACTTATGTCTCAGGGCGATGGGTGCAGAGGCAGTGCACCTCAGAACTTTGCGATTTAAATCTATGAGTGGCACAGCAACTGTTATGGACAGGCGTGTCGCTTACCATCAGGCGCACGGCTTTGCGCCATAAAAAATGCTTCCACATTCATTATGGTGTGTACACTCAATGCCAGACGCCACAGGCAACCAGCCATCCTGATGGTCACAAGTATTATGAGACCTGCATTGCTTTTTGAGACATAAGCAACACTTACCTCAGTCTTGAAGTGATCTTTCTTTTCTTGATACTGCCTTTGCAGCATCTGTAATTTTGTGGGTTCGGCCAGGAGATGCACGTCCAGCCCTCTGGCGGCCGCCTCCCACGCGAACACCTGTGCTGCCGCCTGCGACACCGTGTCTCCGGTGAAGCGTACGAAGTTCTCACCCGCGTACTCTGACCTGAAGATTATCATTTCATATAGTTGCATACTATAACTTTCTAGACAGCAAACTTGCTTCAATACTAATCATTATTCTTGTGATTCTTAGATTTTCACGATTGCTACACGAGCAGCTGCAGCACATACTTTTCGATATAGTTATTCTTATATATATAGTTAATCTTTTAAATTTGTATTCCTTTTGACGTTTTGTTTTTGTTATTCAGTTGTAATGTAAAAATCTAGATAAAGGACGATTCACATTAGACCGTGCCGGGTACGATCTTAAATTAGACAGAGTCAGACAGCGATCACATTACAACGAGCCGAGGTCACTACTCTATATGATATCCTTACCCCTAAAATCCCCTACTCCCCCTTTATGTACGTCTTGTGCAAATTTATTAGAAGCCATAAATTGTTACTGTAACTACTTCTCGTATGCTTGTGTCATCTGTTCTTGTTGATTCTCCTCTCAGTGTTGTCTATCATTAAAATTCACCTGTCTAATTCTGAATGTTAAACATGTGCTTTCCTGAACTTGAGGTTGGCAGAATCGTTCATTGTTTCAATGGAGTTATAACATTTAAAATGCGTTCCCAAAGGATTTTCAATTCCTTACCCTTTCTTCCTCTATTTAAATCTTACAAGGCAAATGTCTCGCCTTTACAGGGCCCATGATCACAGTTGACTCAGCCAGTCATAGTATTTACTGTTTCAGAGTACAATCACTGCCTTAAATGATGGCTAAAGAAGAAAAATTAAAGTGTCAAAAAATTTTCCATGCGGTTTTCAACTTACTCTGCTGCAGCTGGGTCAGGATTATCTCTCATAGATCGAGTCTTAGGATCGTAATAAGCTGAATTCGGATCTAGGTTCCTGAGATATTTCGCAGTATCTTCTCTGATACGTAAGTTACGCACAGTGATCCGTTGTTTAGAGTCAACCTGTAAATTTAAAATAATGTAAAGAAATGGAAAATACAATTAATCGTCATCTCCAATATAAATTATTCAGATGTGGGATTACTAGAAAATATTGTTTTCGTAAAACTTGAAATAGCCATATAGTTGTAAACAGTTTTATTAATAGATTAAAATAAAATAACGCACACACTCAACATAGCCCCGAACTAGGTAAACCCTGTGTCGCGGGTGCCATGGACACACATATAGACAACCACAAATTACACCCAAACTCACGAGAGAAATAATTGTAGGCCATACAAACATTTCTCCCGGCCCGGGAATCGAACCTGGGACCTCTGCGTGGCAGTCCGGCATGGTAACCGTTCGGCCACAGAGGCAGTTTAATATATAGATTGTGAAATAATACAAAATTTTGCAATAAAAATGCATGAATAGTGAATGTCGTCCTAATGATTGATAATTGCGTTATCGCCTTCTTTGTAAAAACGACAGTAGGTGCAAGTAGCAACAGAAACATCTACATCTCGATAAGTATATATGTATATTTGAAACAGATACATTATCCATTACTCTTATATTATGTAATAGAATCTTCAATTCGAGCTTTAACGAAAAGCCGACTTTTCGAAGTTATATTTTGGGGCAAGTACAGCTTTCCTGTAGTATAATAAGTAATATTGTCAAATTTCTTGATTTTTTTTTTTTGATAATAATAATTTATACACCTGCAAATGAAACAACAACACGTCATCATAAGATGTCGTGTTGTCTGTCGTGGTGTCTTTTATAAAAAAGTAAAGAATATAATTAACCATTTCGCATTGCTTTGACTTTCAATTAATCAAGACTGATAGTAATCGAGTACTATTAATTATTAGGTATACCTTTGTACCAGGCATGTCCACTTCATCTACATATTTGTCCTCATCTTCATCAGCATTATCATCATCTTCCGTCGCTGTAGGGTCTGTAAAACAACCAATTTCACTCTTATCCATAAAATGATATTATATAAAAGAAAAACATTTTTATATTAGGAAAGATATCAAAGCATATTACTTAGCTTCATGTATGCATTAAATCTATACCTTGTTCTAATTTTTTAGCTCTCAATTCCCTCTTGGCTTCCTCAACCTTTTGATACTCTTCAATAATAGCTTTATGCTGCAAAGGGTCATATCCATTCCAACGATCTCGTTTACCATCATAACTGAGATTTAAGTTTGGTTGTTGGAATTCATCAGGTGCTATGCCTGCATTTGTGTATTTAGCTCCAATCTGCAAATAATGAAGAACAAAGTGAATTCATAATATGCCAACACAGGTTTATTTTTAGGAAT